TGTGTGCGAGTGAATGACATAAGCCAAATAGCTCATAGAATTGTCATGTATTATGATTGCTATTGAAAATAAAATTAATAAAAAAAAGTTTTAACACCAATCTTCTGAAAATAGACGTAAATAAATGTATCTATCATATGATTGAAAAATGCATTTATTTACTAAAAGCTTAACTGAGTATTCAATATAATATGAAAAAGATAAAAATGAATATTTAGCGAGAAATAAGTAAGTTGAGAGAAATCTAGTAACTTATAGAAATTTCTGCTTATGTGAACAAATTTAAATTATTACAACATAAAATTAATTTAATATCCTATATTATTCACAACAAAATCCTAAATTAATTGATATTAAACATTTATTATTTTTGCAATGCGGCATAACCGGCTTTTACTCGATACGAGTTGGATAACCGGTGTGCGAATAATAAGCATTTCTATTAAGAAAGTGCATATGAACGTATTTCTATAAAAAAATTTAAACAAGTAGTGCGTAGCTGCCGCTCACGCTAGAAATTGAAAATCTCATAAATTATATTAAATATATTATTATAATACCAAAATGTTCTAAAAAATACTATAAATTTAATTATATATTCATCAAGAATATAAACATAATTAATATTAATTATATAATGAATCTGTTATTTATTGTTATTTTTATTGTCATTAACAATCTAAACATTTTGATAAAATAAAGCTATTAAATTATTTAAAAAACCTGTTTATAAATACCGTTTATCACTATGATATTTTTTAATTATTTATTTCAATAATAAGATATAATATTATTAAAATCTATTTTGCAATAGTTTTTCTGCATCAAATTCAAGCACAAATTTCAACTTTCACAATGTCACTTTTGCTGACATATGAATATGTTCTAAAACCATCAACCCTATAGGTAAATTTTCAGTAATAAATCGTAACAATCAATATCATTTAAAATCTAATGGCGTGAATGAAGTAGTAGGCACTTCCTATACTTTTTTTTCAAATTCTACCATTTTTGTCTGTTGCATAAATTAAAATTTGACACCTTGACGTCAAGCCGAAAAGGGGTAAAATATGGACCTTAACTGTCCTGAAAAAAGTTTAAAAAAAATATCTCATGTTGTTTGGAAATTATGAGCTTTTAAGTACAACCTAGACCTTTGGTCAAAACATGAGCATTTTTTGATTATTGTGGTTAATTTTTAATAATTTTGTTTATTTAAACTTTGGAATCATAACCGTGAATAACATTTCTAAGACCACAATAAAAAACAATAATACAATTGCCCCAAGTTTTCAAAAAATAATACTTTTTGTTGAGCTTTGTGTGGTCCTCCTTTAAAAACAATGTACTGGCAAGTTCTATCAAAAGTTGACGCTTTTGATCAAAATTGTAAAATTATAAAATACTTGATCATTTCATTATTGGAAATTTTCAAAAAATATAAATCTAAAAATTGGTTTTTTCTAGTTTTTTAAAAAAATTAATATATCTTGAAATTCAGTGATCATATTTTTATGAAATAATAATGATTGCTACGAAATAATGAAAATTGTCTTAAATTTATATAAACATTAACAAAATGCAAAATTAAATTCACACACACATACATTAAATAAATAACCAGAGGTATCATCGTTATTTTTTTACCGTTTTTTATATTGTTTATTTTTTGACTTTGTATATACGTACATTAGTCATACACAATTTATAAATTAACTCTACAATTTTATTTTATTGGATTGTATATAATTGTATAGAGCAACATATATATTTTTTGTCAACAATGTTATAAAATTAGTTGGGAGGGAGATTGTTTTTCCTTGATATTTCCCTGCATAGTTTTTGTCTTCCCTTTTCCAATTTTTTGCACTCCATAATAGCGTGCTCTGCATCCGCCCTAGTCGCTCCACCCAAGCAAGTTTTATTCAATAGTTAAGTTAAATATTACGGTTTGTGAAGAGATGATACAGAAACGCTTGTGAATGATTTCACGTTTTACTTTTTGATGAATGCTTTTCTGAATACGTTTGTAAAAATTCAGCCCATTTGCATATATTCTTGTTGTACCATTGCTTTAAAAAAAGTTCAAAGTTTTCAAAAAAAATATATAATATATAAAAAAAGAATTTAAAAAGAAAAGGTTTTTCTTCTTAAAAAAAACAAAAATATCAAACATCTAATTTTCTCAAAGTTTTCAAAAAATTTAAAGCTTTTGTTAAAACACTAGTTAAAAAATGTATTCAACTGAAAGAGTCTATCTAGAGATTCTCCTCGAGCCGTTTCGCATTATCACTTCAATAGCGTTAAACACAATTGTCAATGAGTCCACGTTCATCGTACGCATTCGATAGTGGATAGTGTTTCGAATTTCTTTAACCCACATCGTGCTGTAGAAAAACAAGTCCACGGCCGAGAGACAAAATAAAATGCACAGATCGTTTTTGCCAGAGTTCTTGTTCATAGATGCAATTGTAATAAAACTACATGTTTATCATGTATTATAGTGCTATAAACGTCTAATAAATCTTAGCGATAGCGACAGCTGTATACGTACATATAGGAAGACTTGAGCCGGTCACATTCTATACCGAGAGGCAGGAAACAACACATTATGGAATGATTGCAAGTAGTGCTTTTTCAGGTTTTTGAAAATTTATTAGAAAATGTGTTTGAAGTTGATTTGCAATATTCGATTTACACAGAAATCAAAATTTTTATACACGATGAAGCGAGTGAATGCGCTTAAAAATGACTAGTTATCGACAGTGTCGTATTGCCATATTTTAGTAGCGTCTTGCAAGAATTCAATCACTTGTTTCTCTATATGAAAAAGTCACTTTAAATATTTAAACTATATTTTCACAATTTACGTTTTCCCAATTGATACGATTATAGACCCGCAACATAACATTTCTATGTTATCCAAGAATTGGCGACAGAGGAGTTAGCAACCAGAGTGAACCATCCCAAATTTTCCTCATTGTCATTAAACCTTGACGAAAAATTTGGTATTTTTTTGAATTCCTTTATATGATCCCCAATTAGTTTAAGAACTATTTACCATTTATTTTTGCATGATTTTTTCATTATATAAATCAAATAGAAGCTCCATAGTTTATTCTGGGTTTTCGTAAACGTGAAACAACTTTAGAGCCAGAGCAGATTTTTCGCTGGCATTTAACGACAAATATAAATATTATGTTTATTTGAGTTGGCAAGATTATTTAATGAAAAACTCGTCATAATCTTATCGTATCTCAAATTACCCCGATTTATAAGATGGTTCACTCTGGCTACCAACTGCTCTATTATCAAGATATTTCTTGCACCCCTAGGAAATTCTTAAAAATTTTAGAAGTGCATAAAAATGATGGATTGCTATGAAATAGTTCACTAAAAAGTTAATACATTTTTGTTAGTAAACAAGGATTTCAAATTAAATTATATAAAAGATTTAATATGTAGTAAAACTGTTTAAGATATAAGAGTATTAAACTTGAAGTTTAAAAAGCTGTTATCTAGTTTTATTCCTATTTGGTGAAAAAAGTTGGTAAAAGAGTTCTTGGACGGCTTACTTTTAGAATAGATGTTACATATTCATGTATCCCCAAAATTACTGAATATCTTTATTTTGTATGAAGTTAGATTATAATTAATAAAAGAAAAAAAAAAGAGTTCATGCACGCTTTGAATATTCCTTAAATTTGAGCGTTTGAACAATATTTATAAAACCATGAATACTATTAAACGATGCTTGAATACTATTGATATATCACGTAATTATAAGATTATATTAATCCTAATTCTGTAGGATTACGTTGGAAAGTATATCTTTTTTTGAATGGCAAAAAAGTGTATTTACAGTGTTTTCCGAAAATGTAGGGAGAAGTGGGCCACCCAAATTTTTACCTGTGAAAATGCTGCTATATGCTACAAATTCTTAACCTAAGGATTTTTAAATGCGCTGATTACGAATCCGTCAAATTCACAAAATTCATAATCGTTGATACGAAATTAAGGGTAGAAATTGAAAAAACAGTGACCTCAGTAACAATGTTATTTTAATGTTTGAAAAGAAGAAGTAATAAAGTTGGAATGATAAAATTGTTGATAAGATTTTAGGCGTAATTGGTGCCTTCAAGTCGGTGTTGTTGGTCATATCGACGCACTTCAAATGGAATGTTTACAACCTTCAAATGTTTTTTAAAATTGAGCTAGTGCCAAAATATTATAAACATGTGCGCGGTTCGACATACATGTCACTTGTTCTAAAGTTATCTAGTGGCCCTCTCTAAACTGTGGCTCACGTCTGTCCACTGCACTCTACATCTTAAATTGCAAATCTATAAGTATATCAACAATCACAAAAAATAATAATTTCGAAGTGAAATTTGGCATGTGACATGTTTCAACAATCGCCATATGAAATATATTCTAACTAACATGCTGCAAATTTAAATTCTCTATACAATAAATAATCGTTACTGTTAAAGTAAATATTAACTATTTGCTTCTCTATAAATATTAACAATTTTATAAAAGAACACAAAAGTATGTCCTTGCTGAATTATTTATGTAACGTTGCAATTGTTGTGCCTCGTGTATGATTCAGACATACTTTTAGTTCGATTCGAGCATTTCATTGGTTTTATAGAATAGCAATACAACAAAGTGATTAGTATTAACACAAAAATACTTGAACTTATAGATCTCAAATATAACCTGAAAGTGAAAATCGACTCTCGTGGGTATAGTTGCATATATAATAAAAATGTCAGCAAATACTCCGAGTATAGATAATTAGTCATAACTGGACTAGGCAACTACTAAGTTGCCATCCATTCAAGATTCATATAATAAGAAAAAGTCAAAACAATTACTGAATATCCTAAGTGTGACAGATTGTAATTAAAATAAAAAAAAATTAAAAAAAGTATTAACAAAAAACATCCTAAAATGCATTCACAATGACCATTCAAATTATTGTTTATTTATTTCAGAACAATTCTTGAAAAACAAACTGATGATGGCATTCATAGCAGCTGTTTTGATCATCAACTTGATAAAATTCAAAGTACTGTTCTTGCTTCCTATGATGATGGGTGTTGGACCGGCCAAAAAAGTCATGATGAAGATTTTGCTGTTCTTGTTTCCTGCGCTGTCTCACATATTCAAGTTGTGCCATTATTATCATTCGAATTACCACAGCACCAAGTTCGTCCACCACCAACATCACATCAAACATTTGCATCACACGGTAAGATACTATTTTGTTTATTCATTTATATAATTCAGTCGAAGATGCTTCGTTACTTAATTAATCCTCATTTTTACTGCGAATCGTTAGATTTTAGAGATTGCGTAGTTTTTGGTACACGCCTTCCAGTTTATTCTTCCTTTTTAAATAGAAAAAAAATTATAATTTTTTTTGTTTTATATTTTTAATAGAATCAGAACCTTACGTCTTATGAGCTGTTGGGCTGAAACTTTTCCTCACTTCGTATTTTTAGATGGTAACCCAATAATTAATCCATCCATATTTGATGATTTTTGTTATTAGAATTAATATAATAGAGCTGACTTTTTATTGGTGCAGCAATGCCAAGCAAGGGCTATTTTCACTTGGAAACATATTGCTATTTATATTTCCAAGTGTAAATCGTTGTCACTGCTGCCTGACAACAGGCTGCTTGAGGTGGGTATCGAACCCGGGACCTCTGAAACAAGTCTCGTCGCTCTTAACCGCTTACCTACGGGCGAACCCAGATTTATAAATGAATTGCTAACTTTGCTCAACCAAAAATTATCTGATAAAGAATTACTACTGCAACAGGCTTTTCAATTTGCTAATGTAGGAGATTACAAATAGGAATGTCCTCCCAACAAATATACAAAGCGATGTATTTGATGAAGATGAGTTTTAAAGTGTCTCATTCTACCGATGAAAAGAAGGCAATTTATTTTACGTTGAAAAAAAAAGTTTAACAAACAATGTAAATATTTTTATGAAAGAACCTGACTTTCGTAAAACCACTATAGGCATAAAGACAGTAGTGATTTTTAATTTTGTTTCTCATAACTATGTATGTAACCACATTTTATAATATTTTATGTTTCGTACTCTTGCGTTTTAATTGTTTAATTTATTCTATTTTCTTTTCAAAAAGTTGTGTTTACAGAACCCTGGAACTTATCTTCGATCTTCACGTGCTTTGCGATAAAAAGTTCTAATTCACTTCACGTCGTGTTAATTTGCACCTTGCTTTTTTGGGACAAAACCAAATACAGTAGTAAACCGACATACTAGTTTAATTCGTTCCGTAGCCGTATGTCAAATCAATCGTATCTCGAAGCAAATCATATAAATACGCAGAAATTCCATGAATTCGGTCAGACACTGCGGTTTTTGTTAAGTTTTTTCAATATCAAAACTAAATTTACTATTGATTAATTTCATTATAGCTTTTTCTGTCCATTCATGATATTAAACATGTTTCGAAATGAAAATGAACAACTTTGAATAACTCCCATTCTCTAACTGTTGCAACATTTTTTATGTGGATAAACCACAAACTTTTGAAGCTCAGAAAGCTGCTTATAAACTATGTTACGCTCGTACCTATTTTTCAATAATTTCACGCTTTAATGCATGAGATGTGTCTTTTTATTTGGACGCGTGGTTATAAAAGTAAATGTTTTGTAAAACGCGAACTCAACATATCTGAACAATCACTATGCTTAATGTAAGTCAATATTTTAAACGTTAAAATAATCCTCGATATATCGGCGTGTGTAAATCATTACAACACAATTATTATTTATTTATAATTGAAATGACTAACTATAAAATAATTCGCCATCACAAAACTGCTGAAATTTTTTATATTTTCACTTTGCCATTAACATTTTTCTAGAATACTTTTACTCGCTCAAAGTTTGTATCCCCAATTTCGCTCGTATGTAGAAGCAACGAATCGCTGCTTTGGCGGCTCATATTACGAAATACTCGTATGTTAGGTCACACGTAAATCAGGGTAGCACTACATATATATATATATATATATATATATATATATATATATATATATATATGTGTGTGTATTTGTTCATAGTATATTAACTTTCCTAAGAAATTGAGGGAAAGAACACGCCTCATGATAAAAATAAAGATGGAAAATGCTAGATAAGACAAGTAATGTGGAATCAATTATACATATAAGTAATACATAAGACATCAAGTTGTCTACTTACTTAAGAAAGCCAAGAAAAATAACAATAGGTAATCTAGGTGATTAACAAACCGTTTAGAGATCTCTTAAGTATCATCATTATGATTAAACAATGGTTAATTCGAAATGATTTATAGAAGCGTTAATGGCCGCTGGTAAAATGCAACGTACATAAAGACTGTGGGCAGTTCGAATTTTTTCAATCGATAATTTACAAATAAAAATATTAGAATTTTTCGGTTCATCATCGGAAAGCGAGAATGTACTAGTTTTTACATAACTTAAGATTCAATGATCAAACAAAAATAGTCGTTCGCCGGAAATAGGTTAATAGCCGAGCGTGTTATATTTCTGCTTCCTTCTATTAATTCATCGATCATGATACATTTCGCTTTGAAGCAGCATTTCCAGGTAAAAACTAGGTCTGTCAATTCTATGGGAATAAATAAAGCAAATCTGTGGCAAACCAGTAGATTGTGGCGTGGTACAGACAAAATGACAAGAAAGATAACAGCTTTCAATATAAGCAATTCATTATTATAATAGTTTACTACTGCAGAGCTTTGATATCAGAGGTATTTATTTTTCACAGCCTGTGCACAGGCTTTGATATGCCATTAGCAATATTTTTAGGCATATATAGATGACTGAATTTTCTGCTAATCTAAAATTTCTCATTTGACAACCAAAATACAAACAGGTCGAATATCTTATTTTTAATTTTGAAGTGATATCACCAAATATGCAAAATACAAATATCATGGGTACTTCATCAGAAATATTCATTAGCAGAGTTGAAATAACTATTAACTCAATTTATCTACTTTGAAGATACTTTTCAACTTAAATAATTTTTTTTATTTAGTAGGGGTACGGCTTTGCCACTTTTTTTTGACCGGTAAGAATTTTAATAATTTACCAGTTAGCAGGGAGAAAAGAAAATAAAATGTTAAGCTGATCATTATTTGGCTACGTGGAAATACTGAAATAGATGAGTTTGTCATAAAATAAGTTAAAAAAAAACTAGAGCTACAACCACTAAATTATTTTATAACTACTTTTATCGTCGTTAATAACAAAAATATGTAACATAATACATCATAAACATTTAAACAAAGCTTATGAATAAAATATAGCATAACATATTTTTTTTTTTAAAAGTTAAGAAGAGTTAAGTTTCTTCGTGAAATCTTTTTTTTCTTGTATAGAATTTTCCTTTTCTTTCTCTTTGCATTAGTTAAGTTAGATTTTTTATCTGTTTAATCTTTACTAAAAAGGAACAAGAAATGCATGTCACAACCGTACCCAGTTTTCCCTAATTTCTTATTAATTACATCTTTGCTGATCTTTTTATACCATCCACAAGCAAGCTTTTATAGAGGTTATATAAAAAGATGTTGAATCTATCTTAAAAATATATTTCGTTATTTTCTTATTATAAAACGATTAAATAACATGTACCTTAAAATTATACTCAGGTATCAAAAGCTAAATTATAGAGCTCAGAACCAAAAAAACTTTTGTTATGAATATTGACACATTGCCGTTTATCTTTAATTAAGATAATATGGTCACACATCTTCTGCTTTCTACTTTAAATCGGTATCAATAACAGATTATATACTTGTTTTTGAGATAACGGTGGTGGACCTTTATACCCATGGAACTTTAAGCCTCACTTTGCTCATATCACCTTGATCGCATTAAATATTAACCTGTTCAATATATGCCAAAGTCTAAAATTCTCGATAAAAAAAAATCACAGAATCGTGTAAGCAAATTATATCATCGACGTTATTGTTCATACAATGATTATTTAATATGTTCTATATCACGATAATTGATATCATATATGTGAACGCACAATGACAAAACAAAAATTGAAATTTAGCGCGTGTTATGCATAATTTGCATGATAATGCAATATTTGATTCATACATTTTCTAATGATCGCATGTTACGCGAATCAATCGCGAATTATACAGTTTCATCGTAATTCAACTTTTTCTTATATTTATCGACACACGTATAAAAACACAAAAGGAGCTTTAATTTTTATATCGTGCAGTGACCCATAAATAAGAAACTAGTGTGTGGCATCGTGCCTTAAGGCAAATTGCTGGAACTTCCCGTACTGTAACAAAATGTTAACGAAAAAGGAATACTGAATGTTTTCAAATAGATCATTATAAATATTGTAACATTGTCTAATATTTATAGGAATTATATAAACTGAATTGCAAAGTTAAAGTTATTCATCTGAAGTATACTCGTATAAGTGAGCTTTAGAATTTTAGTTAGAATTAAAATTAAAATTCGAATCATTTTTGATATTTAAAAAAAAATTGAAAATTTAAAAAAAATGACACTTTTGAACAAAATATTTTTTTTTCTTTCTCCAAAAACTAATAGTTTCTTCACAAGCAAAATGTTTTTTGAATCGAATAATTTTGATGATTTGTTCTCTCAAAAACTGTCCTTTTTTACACGTATCTCTAAAACGTCTTTGTCAAAAATCACGTCTTCCCATCATTACGAATCGAATGTTTTTTGAATCATGCAAATCAGTTGAGCGGTGCTACCCGAAAATGTCGACGAAAAATTGTATCCGTACATACACACACATACATCCATTTTTTCTAAGGTATGCTGAAATGTTCGAAGACCTTTGAAACGTAAAGAAAAGCAAAAATTTTTTAGATGATTACTATAACTTACTATACGGAAAGTTAATAATGTTGATTGTTTTAATAAAGTTGAATATAAAAACTTCGTTACGAGGCTATTACAATAGTAACTTTAAAGTAAATGAGCATTTTGCTGTTGCAATGCAGCAACAACGTAATAATGAATACATCATTGGCTTGAATTGTATTTTTATATTTCATTTTAATTAAGAATTATTTTTTTTATTTATGAATAAATCACCGAGATAGAACGAATTGATAGAAATTCTTTGTTACATTTTTAAAATTGATTATAAAGGTTTATAATTTAATCTTATTAAACCAACTATTGTAACAATAAT